TCCATATTGCATACGGGGGTCTCAGAATTTCTAGAATTATCTCTAAGATTATAAGGATTAAAAGAGTTCCAGTGACCGCAATATAAGGTATGTAATCGACTATTTCAAAGTTAAACATATCAGAAAGTTGTGGGCTTGCTGATACTGTAGGAAGTAAATAAGTTAAGAAGAAAAGATATTTAAAGAAGGGTTTTCCTGCCATTATTCCTATAATTCCGTAATTTTATGAATATAAATTTATTTATTCCGCCGTTCTTATTTATACTTTTATACCATTTTTTCATGCTTATTTCTCGGATCTTGAGTTCGGAATAACCCGGGTCTTTATTTCTTATTTTGATCGTATTTCTTTTGTTTTTAATGCCTTTTATATTTTTAACGTTAACTTTTTTACAAAAAAGTCATTGATTAACGGAGAAAGAAACCTCGTGATTAATAAATCCTTTTCTGTGTTATGCTGTGTGACGTTAATGGAGGATAAATTAGCGGCGCAACCCAAATTCTGCAGGTCGGCACAAATTATGGTTGGGATTTATCGGATTTAGGCCGGCGCTAAGAAATAACAACAACTAACGGTATTGCAGTAAATTATCAGGTAAGAAATCACTAAGTGATGCTACATATTACTTAGCATTACTTATGATATAAAATATAATATTTTATTGATTTTTTTGTATTAAAATTATATAGTAATTTATATGTGCACTTTTAAATTTTAAAATGTCTACATTACATTATGCGACATTATGTTTTGCATAATGTAATGCACATAATGCAGAATGCCCATCTCTGTCTGGGAGGCTTTACTTAGTGAGTGGGCTATGGTTTTGTTAGAAAAATTTTGAGTGATTTTGGGCAAAATTAATCAACGCCGGCCAATTCCAATGCATTCCGACCCATAATTCGGGCCGATCTGCTGAATTTTGGTTGCTCCGCTATCTGTTAAGCGACTCTTGCGGTACCATTAATCTTTGTGTACTGTTACGACCGGGGGAGAGACTTTGTATCAATGTAGCCAATTTAGCAAGGGGTCGTAAGCATTAAGATGAGACTAATGGTTTATTAATACACACACAAGGCACAAAAATGTAATATACAAGCCACTGGAAGTATCAAGAACCTCTAAATAACCAACCAACTTTACTTTATTCCTACCAAACCCAAAAGTACTACCCAGAGTACTATTCCAAAAAATCCACTAAAAACTTAAAAATCTATCTGATCCTTCTTACAAGCATATCGTTCTATATATATATTTGAATTAGACTCAAATTGACTATCCTGCATGATGCAAAGTATAAGCTAATACGATAAAGGTCGTAATGATCGAGACAAAGTGTACTATAATAATCGCTTCGATCATTACTTAAATATGAGCTACCTATTATAATGTTACACGAACGAAAGTCTAATTATTACTTTGTTACATTGTTTTGCGTAACAGTACGCATAGAAGCTATATATAGTATTTACAAATTATGATATAAAAAATAATGATAGACTTCGTTACCATCAGATGAATCCTATACCCCCAGGGATTAAGAACAATGGGTTAAATTATACCGTATTACAAGATGACCGATAGCAAGTACTTCATAGTTAGTACATGTAGCTTGTGAATAACTCACGTATTAAAAGTAAAGTATTCTTTAGAAGAAGTTTACACATCGCTGACAATATCCACCAATAAAAAACTATAAGAAAATTTATTAGCGTTAGTATAGAGTTTGTATTTTGTTCATAAGGATATTAATGCTTCTATCGATTTCCATGATTGTTCACTGTAAGAATTTTACTGAAACATAATAAATTGATATGAGTCTTTTACGCTTCATCCTTCATTAGTGTATTATATAAATCCTATCCATTCACAAATAGGTTCCTTCGCTCAAAACATAATTTATTACTGAAAATTATTAGAATAACTATCGGTGTGATTCTCTCCTCATTCAGCTATTGCAAGGATAAGTTATAATTAGATTTCATAAGTGAGCGTTTTTTTATTAATGTTTCTTATCTCTTGTTGCAGGCACTTGATGATATAAACAGGCTTTATTATGATGTTACTGGAACTTTTGCCTCAAAAAGAGTCAGATAGCTTGTAAATAGTGTAAAGATCTTTAAAAATTAATATCCTTATAAGAGAAATTTCTGAGATTGGTTAAAGTTTTCATGATAAGTCATATATAAAAGATTTTGCGCTTATCACATCTTTTGTTGAAGCACCATCACCTATTAATGATGAAGATTTTGTGCCAAACTGTTAGAATTATGCACAAGATATCATACAAAGATACACTAAATAAGAGGTTTCAGAACTGCGGATTATTGCAATTAGTCGTTCATATAGAGAATGTGCAATTTTAAAAGCCATAGAAAATATTAATAAAAGAACATCAAAAGCTACGTTGAAATTTCGCGTTATAAGTCAATTTTTAATTTACAGTTCCTGAATAGAATTGTGATGACAATTATTCCAACACTGCCTTGTGCTTTTACATATCAAGGGTGTCTATTCTTGGGCAGATAACCTACATGATACACCAGTAAGAAATGGAACCTAAATGAGACAAGATTTAGATAGCATAGTTGTGTAATAACGTACTCTGCGTTTTGTTTTATGAATTTGAGGCACCTGTAGTGTTATTTCGAAATAAAATATCAAAATTTTAAACCTGATGTACATGCATCAAATACGTCAATACATATATTATTGTAAGTGCTCGTTATTTTCCGGTGCGTGCATGGGTATTATTTAACAAAATATGTTTTTAAAAGGTGCAATTTATGAAACAACCTTATGAGCGGTAGTATTTGTGTCGACCTAAATTTGTTGACTAAGTCGAAGTTTACATATTGGCTTAGCCGGCTACACAAAATAAAAAATATATATAGATAGCCAAATAAAAATAATTGAAAAGCAAAATCTAGAAAATATGTAAATAAAATATAAAATATTTAGATCAAGGATAAATTAGGTTTAACTATATATAATAATATAATATATATAATATTTTTTACAAAATATATTATTAATATGATATATTAATAAAGATACAAGACAAGGCTTATCTTAATACAAAAAATAAAAATAAATATTTTGTAAATATTTATCAAACTTTATAGTATATAAGCAAGCAACAATATAGTATAGAATTATAAATACTGATCAAAAACATAAAAATATAACCTCATCTTAAGACCAAGGATATAATTATATTTATCTTAATTTAAGTATAACTATATTTAAAAATTTAAAATGATTATTATTTGAGTTATTACAAATATATTTTTAGTTTTTATTTCCTGTTTTTCTAATCTAGTTTATCTGTTTATTTTGATAGCAATATTTAATACTATATATTTTATTAATAATATTTAGCTTATTTAGCTATTTTTAATTTTTTAAAATTTTTAATTAAATTTGCAATATAGACTTTTTAATTTCTACAAGTTGAATTTGACTTGGTCTAGCTTTAATTATATGATAAGTAACAATCAGATTTGTGCACACAGTTAGCTTAGTTGCTCTATAAAATTAATTTACTTTTTTTATTCATTCTGTATAC